GGTATCATAAAATGTATGAGAAGACAAAATTTTTGTCTAGTGTAAGCTTGTCAAAGGCAGATTTGTCAGTCTTATTCATTGCTGTATCCTTAGTCCCTCAATGATTCCTGGCCCTAAATAAGTATTTCTTAAATGAACATATGGGAAAGTGAAGGCTTTTTTGTGTGTCACATACTGTAATCTTCCTGGCCTATTGTAAAGTATGAAGGAAACTTGCCCATTTCATGTGCGAGAAAACTAAGGGCTTGAAGGGATTAAATTGCTTACATAAGGTTCCATAATCCTAGGCGGGACCTAAATGCAGGGACCAGGGCTCAAATTCAGGTCCCTGCTTGATGGTTCTCAATAACAAAAATTCTCTGCTGAGAATGACTTCTCAAGCTACTCTCTCAGGAGTCTGACTCCTTCTCCCTAACAAACTGATCCCACTGCCAGGACATTTTAGACCCCTGTGGATAAGCGTGTGTGTCTTCTGAAGGAGTACAGTTAACTTGGTGACTGAGAGTCATTTACTCCATTGTCTGCCCTTCTCAAAAGGGTCAAGATGAATCAGAAACCAGCATGTCCTGGGGGCTTGTTATCACTGTTTATGGTGCATCTGTGTCCCACAGGCCATGCGGGTGCAGACAGAGATGGAGCTGCGTCTGTTCCGCCAGAACGAGTTCATGTACCACAAGATGCGTGAGGCTGCCCTGAACAACCAGTCCATGCAGGTCATGGCCGAGCCCAGCAATGAGCCAACACCACCTCTGTTCCATAAGAAGCAATGATGATCTGCCTTGTGTTGGGGGCACCATGGCTGGGGAGCTGGGGAGACTTTCTGGAGGTAGTGGGTTTCTTGGGATGTCATTGATGAAGAAGTCAGAGTAATGCTCAACCTTGTTGCTATGGGAATGTACTACCCAAAATAATACTTTGTTCTCCAGTATTATTTTGGTTCATTTCAACTCAGCTCAATTCAACTTAACTCATTCTACAGCCCAACTCATCCTACAAATATTTATTGGGTGGTAGGCCCTAGAGATAAGGCTCCAAAAGTAGCTGAGAAGGCAAAATGTAAACAAACAATTAAAGTGTTATGTAATAATAAATGCAATGGTAAACTATATGGAGAGAGTGGATGAGATAAAGAACACGTGTCTGATGTGTGTGTGTATGCAGTAGAGAATATGAAGGGAATGACTTCTGAGCTGAGGGTGGCAGGTGCCTGGAGTCTCAGGTGGCTGCTTACCCATATGTGTAAGAGTCTCTGGGTCTGCTGGTCTTACCCATGGTCTGGAATAGTCAGGATTTAGCTGACTAGGATGGGTGATGTCCAGTTTCCTCAGGTAAGTGTGGCGTTATAAAGAAGGGGCTGTGTTTGGACCATTTAGCTTCTACTTAAAGAACTGAAATCTTTTCAGAATGGTGCATATACAGGCAGAGGTAGGGGCTTTGCCCAAACCACTTGAGGCCTCAGTTTAAAGTCTGGGTCCCAAGTATTACTCTGAAATTATTTTTAGATCAGGGAGGAGTATTTCTTTTCCCCACCCTCACCACCAAGCTGTGTGATTCCTTGTGATTCCTTGTGACAATATCTGATTTTTTCTGGTTAGTGGCCTACTAGGATTGAAGACATCTTTTCAGGGTGAAGCTGAGGGAGGAACTTGGGAACATACATAGCTGTTGATCACAGGTCCAGCAGAATCGGCCTTTGTGAGTTTTATTTGATTACATGTGCCTGGGTAGTCTTTACCAGCTTCGACTTTATCACTGGCCCCAGTAAATTTCTTTTCTTAGTAATGAATAATTATGACTTGCCTTGCTCATTTCTTTCACTGTCCATGACCTTCGGCTGCTGCTCTTCTTATAGGAAGAAACATCTAATCTGGACTCTGCACACTGAGGCTACGATCTCTTTAGGGGTGTGACCAACTTGCTTTCATTTTATGGGATGCTACTTAGTTTCCACCCAAAAGTGAGAGACTTGGGAATCAACCAAACTAGTCATCCTGTTGTCTCATTATCTTCTGGGATCCCAGAATTCTCACCAATGGTTTAGGAGGTGGTCCTGGACCAAAGTCCTTCATGTGGGGTATCACCAAATCTGCACCACCTGGGCACATCTTTGACCCCAGAGCTCTAGCTAACATCTTGAAGTCAAGTAATCCCACCAAGTCCTATATTTGTCATCTCTGTCTAAAATGTTAATTTCTTGATCCCCACCATTTCATCCTCAGCATTACCCACTGCCTCCTCTGAACATGTCCAAATTGCTCTGCAAGAGTGCCAAAACCTTTGTTCAAAAACTTTGCAAATGTGCCACTTCTTTGCAGAATACTTGTATGTGGATTCTGACTCTTTGAGGATACCCGCTTCTCCAGAAGCTTTCACAGGAAGATTGACAGTTCTTCCAAGTCCTTGTACTACAGGCCTAGAGATAGCACCAGTGTTCTCCCAGGGATCCGTCTGGCACATTCAAATGATTGTTCTTCTACCTTCATATTAAACTTTCCCTCAAGCTTTCTTTCTATCTATGTCGCTGTGGTCTGGTCATTCTCCCACATTCTTGTTTTTCATCCCTTCCTCAAATTTTGCATCTCCCATGTCCACTCACACAAATCATCTAAACTTCTTGCTTCACAGATTCTTAATTTACTCAATTCTAGATGTTTTTCTATTTTTCTCCATTAATTCTCTCTCCCGGCCACACTCTGGATACTGTACTCATAATTTCTCCATTTTTAATGTTTAACTCTGGTCATTGCTTCCTACTTTTTCAGCTTTTTCTGTCTCTTTTCTCTATCCCAAATTACTATATGATATCATGTAGACTCTAATGTTTCACCTTCCTCCTGTCTTCACTTCCTTCCAGATTATCCAGTTCATTAGCCCCCTCCTTCCTTTTTGCACATTTTCCCTTCCTGCCACGTAGAGTCCCAACCCTGACTTAATTCATCTGTCTTGCTTTCCCTCTACTGTACCTGAAAGTGCTTAGCATAGCCAGGGAAAAGGGTGCCTTTCTGAACAGAGGCATCTCTATGGACTCTTCTCCTCCTCAGCTGGCCTTTGGGTGCAGCTTGGAAGTGCTTCATGTGTCACTCGTTGGCTCTCTTTCTCTTTTTCTCAGTAGGTATTTCATTCCTGCCTTCACTACTGTCCTCAAGTCCTGCTTCCAGCAGAACCTCACCTCCTGCTTCACAGAGAAAACAGAGGCCAGAAGATGAGATTCCCTCGCTTTCTTCTTCTCACATCCACACATGTCATGTCTGCACCCATCCTTCCTTCCCCTCCTTCTCACATCAGTGGAACAGGAGCCCTTCTCCTTCTCCAAAGCTAAATTCCCCATCTGTGCTCTGAACCCCTTCCCCTCTTATGTCCTTAGGGCCTTGCTTCACCTATTACTCCTCTTCCACCCTGGATCCTTGGCATTTTCTGTCACTGGCTTCTTCAATGCAATTGATAAATATGCTGGGGACTCTTCATTCATAATCTTCACAGTTGAGTATTTTTTAAATGATTTGACTCTCATAGTTATTATCTTTTCTCCACTGCAGTCTGGCTTCCTGAACTCCACAAAAATAGCTCTTACCAAGGTCAACTCCAGTGAATACTTTTCAGCCTTTATATTATTTGGCATCTCTGCATCAGTTGACACTCTCAGCACTTGATTTCTGGAACACCACTTCCTTGTGATGATCCCCTGATGTGATTTCTTAGTCCTCCTCTCTATTCCTGTTTCTCTACATGCCCTCGATATGTTGGCATTTCTTATAGTTGGTTTCGTTCATTCTAGTCACTCTTGGTTTATCCTTATCTCAGTCTGCACACACTTCCTACATGAGCTCAGCAGGCCCTTTGTTCACCACCTTGAGTCTGATATTTTTAAATCTGTGTTCCCCAACTTTGCTCTTGAGTTCCACCCCCACATACCCTCTTGAACATTCTGCAGGCGCATCAAACTTGGCATGTCCAAAATAAAATTCTTTCTCTTTCCTTTCTCCCTTCTCCCATATTTGTCCCTCCTCAGCATACCACTTGAGAACACCTGACTTCTGCTTTTATTGCACCCTAGACTTCAGTCAAACTCATCTATTCACAGGTGCCTGAGTGATCCATGTTATCCCATGCCTCTCTATGAGTTTTCTGTCTAAAATATCTCATACCTGCCAACTCTTATTCATCTTTCGACATCCAGTTTGGAAATCACCCCAGTTTGTGAAGCCTTCTCTGAATACCTTAGATTCAGCTGGCTGCCAATCAGAGTCTCTCATATTACTCTTAAACACCCCCTCCCAACATAGCATAATTCTTCCTCATAGCATTATAATTGCCTTTTCACTTGTCTGCCTCCTCCGTCAGATTGTGAGCTCCTGGAGAGCAGGAGCTGTGTCCCTTTATTCATCTTTCTATCCCTAGAACCTAGCACATGTCTTGAAATATAGTAGGTGCTCAGTTAATGTATATTGAATGAACAAATAAGTGAATGAATTTGCTTATCTCAGAGCAGAAGAGACATGAAACTGTGTATTTGAGTTTTTATGTTACAGCAGTCAATGAAGGCTATTAAATCCACTGTTCCAAGCAAATATGTCTAACTTCTTTCTTTCTGGCAATCTATTTAGAGCAGCACCTTCTATGAAACTTTCTGTAATAATGGTAATGTGTTATATCTGTATTGTCCTATACAGTAGGCACTAGTGGCATGTGACTATTGAGCACTTGAAATGTGTCTAATATGAAAGAGGAAATAAAAATTTAATTTTAATTTTAATCTAAATAGCTAATGGGGCTAGTGGCTACTATATTAGACAGTGCAGTTTTAGAGAATACTTTAGTGTAGTTTTTAGGATTATGGACACTGAGACAAATTAAGTTCATCTCATAAGCTATTAGCTTGGACTGGTTACTTCAGCATGCCTCAGTCTCCTCAGTTCTACCTTCCACATAGAGTTGCTGTGAGAATTACTTTTTTTAAATGTAAAGCCCTTAGTGCTCCATGAGTATCCCAACCATGCTTCTTTTGGGGTGCCCCTTCTCCTAATCAGAAAGTCAAAGGGGCAAAGATAAGCAGCAGTATGTTGGAACCAGCTCTAATCAACTTGCAAGGGCTGACTGTGCACATTTCTCCCCAACTCTGAATTCATTAACATTACATTGATAGCCTGACATGGACTATGGTGAGAATATTTACACTATGCTAACCCACTTAACTTTAGAGGAACACGTTAATTGCCAATCTGTAAAAAATGAGGTTTGCTACATGGAAGTAGCAGAATGAATAAAGACCATTAAAGAAATCTTTAGTTAAAATAGGGTGAAATCTGCATTCTGAAACCTCTACCTGAAACCTGCATGAGCTCAGCAAATGAGGCCAGGGCCATAACAAAGAAGTTCAAGACCTCTGATTACTACCCTTCAGACTAAGCCATCTGCCTCCTGCACCACCAATGTATTGACAGACACATGTATTAAAGGCCAGATATAGTGACTGCTTGGGTGAATTGCTCAGTGTTTACTTCTCTAAAGGGTGCAGAAGGGAATCTGTATAGTTGAGGAACACATCAGAAAGAATAACAGCATTTCTGAGGGCAGTCAGAGGTGCAAGCTTCTAGACCACGATGTGTACAGTTGTGGATGATGACATCCAGTGTGTAAAGGTAAATAGCACTTCTGAAAGCTCCCTTGTTCCCTCTTGGTCCAGCATACAAATTACTCAATCTCACATTGCATAGAAGTTCCTCATCAATCTCAGAGAAGCACAACATGCAGCATGACCATAGACCAACATATGGTTCACTAACTCTGGCATGAACTCAGTCCTCATTATCAGCCTTGGCCTCCCCACCTCAACATGGCTTTGTCTGAGAACATCCTTGTCCAGGCACAGTGCCATAGTTTCCCGGATGTCTTCAGGAGTTGTATTTGTTGCCTCTTATCGCTATAAAAAATTGCCGCAAACTTAGTGGCTTAAAACAATGCAGATTTATTATTTTACAGTTCTGGAGGTCAGAAGTCCAAAATGGGTCTCACAAGGCTAAAAACCAAGGTTTCAGCAGGGCTGGGCTCTTTCTGGAGACTCCAGGGGAAGAATCTGTTTCTTGCCTTTTTCAGCTTCTAAAACCTTCTTCTAGAAAGCCCACATTCCTTGGTTTGTGGCCCCTAGTGAAAAATTACATCATTCCTTCTCTGATCTTCCTTCTTTCCTCTTTCACTTATGTGAACACTTGTGATTACGTTTGGCTCATTGGGATCAACCAGGATAATATCCCTCTCTCAAGGTCCTTGCCTTAACCACATCTGCAAAATTCCTTTTGCCCTGTAAGGTAATGCATTCACAGGTCCAGGATTTTGCACGTGGACATCTTTGGAGGCCATCATTCTGCCTACCCAACAGTCCTGCTATCAAGCCCTCCAACAAGTCTTGGAGGCA